GCCAATTGTGTCACAAGTCGGGTGCCAGCCGTGCCTGTCCGTCATCATCAACAACCTTGCCGCCACTGCTGTTGTTGTTACTGTTGATACTGTTGGTGTTGTTATTGTTGTTCTTAGTGCTGTTGTAGTTGTATTCTTGCTGCCGTTGATATCGTCCCTATTACTGATGATGTTGTTATCTCAAATACTGTTGGTGTTGTTACCGACACGTGGCTGCTGCTGTCGGAAGTGTTTTACCGAGCTATCGTGTGTGTGTGTCATCCTGCTTGCCTGCTCCTGGTCGATCCCCTTCCTGTAGACTGTGTTGGCCACCTCCTGCTGCTACTACCGACCGACCCACCCACCCACGTGCCAGGCTCATCCTCCCTACTCTTCACCCACTCACTACCTATGGCACCATCTCCCCTGCTGTCCACCCACGACCTACGCCGCCATCCTTACCAACCCTCCACACACACACACACACCCACACACCACCCTGTCTTACACACTGAAAACACGGATAAAACACATGAAAATGATAATGAAGAGAACAAGAGAAGTGTAGATAAAGCATAAAGAAAATACTGAAATAAATAAGGGAATGAGAATAAAAAAAAATGTGAGGATAACGATAAAACATTATTTACTAGGTTGAGTGAAAGATAGTGGCAGGCCAGGTGATGATGATGGTGATTAGGTGTTTATTATGGTGATTAGGAGGTCACAGTGAAACCCCCAACTGACCCCCACTACTACTATCCTCTTCTCTTAGCAGTGTGACCTCGTTCTTAACTAAACACCGTCCCATCTGTGTGACCTGTTTCTCGCTGAAGGAGTTACGTCCGCCCGTGCTCACCCGCCCATCTGTTAGTGTTGGTGTGACAGCCTGCCGGGGGGGGGCGACACTGTTATTGGAAGTAATATATAATGTGTGTTGCCTTCATCACCATTGTGTGTGTGTGTGTGTGTGTGTGTGTGTCGTTCCAACATTGTGATCTATTATTATTAGTATTGTTTTCATTATTGTTATTTTTGTTATTGTTGCTATTAGTATTAGTTATTATTGTTATTACTTATCATTACTTATTAGTAGTAGTAGTAGTATTATTGTTTGTTTTTATTATTATTGTTGTTGTGTTCAGTTTCCACAGCATCACAATAATTATTTGAAGGATTATAACCAAATTTGATTCGTGTGTGTTCCCTCCTCCCACGTCACACCCCTTCCTGACCTAATAGTCTTGTATACACGGTGACCTCTAGTGAGTGTAAGGTCAAAGGTTAATCTATTGGTCTATCTATATATTTATCTATTTACTATTCTATATCTATCTATCTCCAGTTGTCTGTATATCCATCTGTCTATCTATCTATCTATCTATCAAGTCAGTAGAGGTTTGTTCTACCAGACAAAGATTTCGTTTTTTGTTTTAATATATTATAACAATGCGTATACACCTTATCTCAAACATGTGAACTGTTGTTGTTGTTGTTGCAAGGACAATGGTGTTATATGTACAGGGATATTGACGTTTACTTCCTGTCAGACACATCCATTAGTCAGTCAGTGATATATATACCTCGTGTCCTCTGGGTCAGGTAATACTGTGATAATAACTGTGTTGTTGTTGTTATTATTATTATTATATTATTATTATTATTCTTGTTGTTGGTCGTACTGTTGATGTTATTTTATTGATGATATGTTATTGGTTTGTATTATTATTCTTGTTATTGTTGAAGCTGTTCTCATCATCATCATCATCTTTTGGTCTCTCTTCTCCTCCTCCTCATCTGTCACCAACCCTTCTTAATCCTCTCTGTTGTGATCTTCCTCCCCCATCCTCCCAATGGCATCAACCCACCTACTCATAGTCTCCCTCCCTTCTTGGCCGGTAATCTCTTTATCCTCCCTCCCTCCCCACGAGCCGCCAGGTTAGCTCATTAGGGAAGTAAGGCAGTACACAACCTGTTGCTTCACGTGAGGTGTGGTTGGGTGGGGGAGGGGATGTGGCGTGTGTAGGGGGTGACGTTTGTGTGCGTGTGTAGGGGGGTGACGTTTGTGTGCGTGTGTAGGGGGGTGACGTTTGTGTGCGTGTGTAGGGGGGTGACGTTTGTGCGTGTGGGGGGTGACGTTTGTGTGCGTGTGGGGGGGTGACGTGTGTGCGTGTGGGGGGGTGACGTTTGTGTGCGTGTGTAGAGTGACGTTTGTATGTGCGTGTGGGGGGTGACGTTTGTGTGCGTGTGTAGGGGGTGACGTTTGTGTGTGTGGGGGGGTTGTGTGCGTGTGTGTGGACTCATGCCCCCTAATACCCGCACCTTCTGACCCTTTACTCAATTTATATCCCCTTGTAATGGTGATTTAATCTCTCTAACCCACTTCTTCCCTCCCACCATCACCGCCAGTCGAACAATTCCCCACAGTCAGTCAGTCCTTGGGTGTCAAGACGTCAGGTTAGGTCCATCACTCATCCACACTCGTCCACCTCACCGTGACATCTTTACCATCTTCTCCCTTGACCTCCCTCTCTACGTCCCACACTTCCCTCTCACTCCTCCTTCTCTTCCTATCACCCTTCCCTCTACTACTGCCTATATTCTTCTCTCCCTCAACTCCTCACTCCTACAACTCCTCTTCTTACTCCACCTCCCCACCCCCACCTCCTGTCACCCCCACCTTCCCCTCCCTCACCCCCCCACCACCCTTCCACCTCCCCTCACCCCCACCTCCCTCCACCCCCCTGCCCCACCCGTCCACCTCTCCCATCACTTGTGTTATCTTAGACCCTGATTAAGACACACCTGTGGCTCACCTGTTTCTTGGGGGGTAAAACTTAATTTCAGTAAAAGAGTTCCCATTTATTTACCACCTTGCTGCCTTCACTTCACTACTATCTTCTTTTAATATACTATAACATATATATTATACACGAGTTGTAAAATGTGCGGCTCTACCTACCCCCACATACCAATATGATTATCTGGAGTACCTACTGTGATAAGTGGTGATGGTAATACCCAGATACGCCACATTGATTCACCTCAAGGAAAGTTCCGTTCATAGGTTTTAATGTCTAGAGATTGGCCACCCCAACTATGCTCTTTTAAATGTGTACGGGTGATTAATGGACCTCTCAGAGTGGTTTTCCTATACTGATGTACTTTTGGGACTGTAATATTAGGTTAAAAGCACAAGAGTACAAAAGGAATTCGTGATAAGTTGCCGCGTCGTAAGGGCTCATAAAGTCTCATTTGGTGCCGCCCGTTGCCTTAATGCGTTCACTCCGTTCTTATATTATGCCAGGGACACAATGTTGAAGTAATATATGGGGATTAGTTAAAAGAAATGAACCACTGTATCTGCCCCTCTTATTACTATTATTGTTATATGTCTGTGATTTTTTTTTTCGGGATTAGCCCACCCGGACACAGGTCACTGACCCACATCGGAGCCTGGGGGACGAAAATGTAATAATAATAATAATAATTGAGAAGTAAAATTTATAATAAAAAAGTAATAATAAAGAACCATCAAGAAATAAAAAAAAAAAATTAAAAGTGAGAAACAATATATGTATGTTGTGTTGGCAAAGTAAGAGAAACAATTTAGACTCTGCAATTGTGTGTGGATGAGACAGAAAGTCAGATGAGCAACCTGGGACTTGGTCACAATTTTCATGATACCATATGGCAGCAGGGTCCACCATTAGACAACACATTATGCTTCCAATATCTTCCCAGGCGGTAGTACCTCCCTGTTTGGTAGCTGCCTACTGGTCTGGCACATCCAAAGCTGTCTCCACTTCACGTTTTAGAAGATGATGTTGAAGTCGGTTGAAAATAGCGGACCAGGAATCCTCTTGACAGCCGAGGTAGCGGGAGGTACAGTACTGCGCTCCATGGTCTACTGCCGTCAAGAGGAGGTCACGATGATTAACGAGATTACCCCCCCCCCTCCCCCAGCAACATGCCGGAAGTTTCAGCCCCCCCTCAGAGCTTAACCCACCTGAAGACCCCCCCCTCCTAACGCTACCTGTGAGTGGATCTTCAGGTGACTATCGCTTATCTCAAGTATCAGATAAGAAGTAAGCCTGCACATACACCACATACCAGTGCTTTTTGTTTGTTTGTTTTTATCTTCAGTGCCAGTTATGATTAGTGGCACTCGATATATCCCAGCTGACATGACCTGGGTGCTAGTGTGTAGGTTAAGGAGTAACAGCTAGTGCCATTTTTACCTGCAGGTCTGAGGTTGTTTTATTATTATCTTTTGTTTTCGCCATTATCGGTAATATTGCATTTGGTTTCTGTTGTTGTTTATGAGCGATAGATGCTGCAGAGAGAGAGAGAGAGAGAGAGAGAGAGAGAGAGAGAGAACATGGTGAGGAGTGAGTTTATTTATCTCATAAGTGCCTCCGTTTAAATTCCCCGACGCCACTTGATCACTGTCGTCACCTGGATCCCTCACGTGTCCAGGTCAGGTTAGGTTAGGTTAGGTTAAGGTTAAGGTTAGGTTAAGGTTAGGTTAGGTCAGGTTAGGTTAGGTCGCCTCATCCTGGGGGTATTTTTCCGCCGTTCCTGAGGGAGTGGACTAACACTGATTCTCGTCTGTGAGGGATGGATGTAGTCTGGGTGCTACTCTAGTATGTGGTCTACCGGGATACTTACACTGTAGCTTCCATTAACGTAACCTAACCTTAGTTTAGGTTAGGTTAAGATAGGTTGGATTAATAGACTGACTTTTGAACTCCTAACACAATCCTTAATATAAACAAGGAAACGGGGTAAAAAAATCACGTCTCAGAGAATATTTTTTATAGACTATTAAATACCTGAAGTTGGTGTATTTGGCTGTTATCTCCCCTTGAGCTCATTGTGTTATCGTGTTATCATTGACGTTATCTTAGGGGTCATTGTGGTAGTGCGGAGCGTCCTGATTGGTGTGTGATAAGTGGATAACGTGTCGCAGTGACCAACACACCGCTACCAGTTCAGGGTGTTAGTGTATGTCCAGACGGGTGATAGGTGTGTGTGTGTGTGTGTGTTGGTCGCTAACCCTGGGATAATAAAATACCGTCTTGACCGCAGTTGTGAAGGTGAGTGTGTGTGTGTGTGTCTGTCTTGTCTGTGTGTATGTCTGTCTGTCTTGTCTGTGTCTGTCTTGTCTGTGTGTGTGTGTGTGTTTTAGTGGTGCTTTCAAGTCATCATAATGTCTCTTGTTTGGGGTGAAGGCTAGGTCAGGTTATAGTGATGTTGATGGTGATGCCGTGGTAGTAAAAGTGATAATGGTGGTCGCAGTGTAGTACTTGACGGGGTTCTCTGGCCGTAAGAGTCTTGGGATAATTGGTTTGTCTTAGGAGGGCTTCTGTTAATTTATACCAGGAGCCTCTACTGTTAGTGCCCTGTCTACCTCTTGTTCAAGGTAGGTGTGTGTGTGTGTGTGTGTGTGACGTAATTTAGACGTGATCCAAATGGTTTCGTGACGTGTTATTATCTGTTATTATCGTGTTTGTGACGTGTTAATGGGACGTTTAGGACACGTCTGTGGTGGAATGTGATCTGGGCGGCTCCTGCCTGGGAGGTGAAAGTTGTGGATCACTGACGAGTGTATTACCTGACGTGTGTATGTAATGTACAGTGAGGTGGTATAGTGAATGGTCCGTACACCCAATCCTCCCCTCCCTCAGTGATCCACCACACCCCCCTGATCCACCACACCCCCCTGATCCACCACACCCCCCTGATCCACCACACCCACCAGCTGATCCACCGCCTTGCACTCAGCGTCTCCATGTCGGATGCTGGTTTCAGGAGCAGCCATTAGTGTGTGTTGTCAACCTGTTTACCTGTGGCTCTCTCTCTCTCTCTCTCTCTCTCTCTCTCTCTCTCCAGTGATTGAGAAAGAAGGAGAACTGGGAAGTGAGTGAGGAGCAAGGAATCAAGCACGTAAATGATTGAGTGAGCAAGCGAGAGAGAGAGAGGGGGAGGACTACGCGGGAGGAAGGTGTGTTTGCTCCTCGTTAATTACCCCGTCCCAAGTCTTCCTCCATCCCTCCTGCCCCCCCCATCCTTCCTCTTCCACCTTCCTTCCCCTCCATGGCATCCTGTTTCTGGCCTGCCTGGCATCCCCTCTGACCCGACATTCCTCCTGGTATTCGTGGCATCCTTCCCTCCTGCATGACATCCTGTCCTTTTTTGGGACAGCTTTGTGTGGGTTTATTGGCGTCACTCATACACGTGTGTGTGTCATAGTAAACGGCGGCCATGTCACTGCCAGGCACGGAGAGAGAGTAAAGGCGGGGAGGAGCTGTGTTGGTCAAGGTAGAACTCTGCAATCATCTTACCACATACTGAATCGTGTTACAACCCTCGTGCCTTGGTCTCATCTTAAGTGTGTGTGTTTATTCTTGGAATCACATGAAGATTAGCACCCCTTCCTCAAGCTTATTTCACCTGATAATTAAACACCCTGACGCTATCTAAGGGGTTTGGGTTAAATTTTGGCTAGGTCAGGTTAGCTTAATAAAATCATCATGTGAATATAAGCTGAGGAAGGAGGGGAGCTAATATTTATGTGCGTCATTTCTCCCTCATTACGCAAACACCTAAGAGTTATTATTGGAGTAATAAATTGGTTGACCTCCGCTTGCTGTGATAATCATCGGATCATGGCTGGTTGTTGGCTTAAACGGATATCCTCAGTATTTAAACATTTGTGTATACAGTATATTGAAGCTAAAATGTTGCTGGTAATTTATGTGAAGAGAAGGTGTTTGTGGTGGGGCACTGCAAGGTCGGGTTGGCAAGCGGAAATTGCATTTATATCTCACGTCTCGCTCATGTAGACACTAAATTTTAGGGCTGGCCAACGTGTGTGTGTGTGTCTGTGTGTCTGTCTGTATGTCTCTGTCTGTGTACATTTGTGCTTCTGCGGCAGTGTTAGTGTATGTAGTGTGTGTATATACTTTGCTGTGTTTGTTTCCGTCAGGGTGTGTGTGTGTGTGTGTGTTTTACAGCGTTTGTATACGAGTGTGTGCCTAGCGTCAATGTCTGTTCACGTTTGCGTATGTCTGCGTCAGCGTGTGTGTGTGTGGGAGACAGGACACCTACGTGGGCTCCTATACGTTACAGGTACGATGTGGGGGATGGGGGGTCATGGTGGGTAGGTGGTAATGTGTTGATGCTGGTAGGTGGTGGGGGGAAGTCATTGTTGTGGAGATGGATAAGCAAATTGTGATAGATGGTGGTGTTGAAGGAGAGGGTTCCCACGTTGGATGGTGGTAATAATTGTGGTTGGTAGTGATGGTGGGTGAGTGAGTGGGAGGAGGAGGGGGGTATCATATGGTGATTGTTGTCAGTGGTATAATGAAGGTGTTGGCCGCCCCTCACTCACTGTCACAGCCCCCCCTCACAAAACACTCACATGCCTGGCTGACACCCCCGCCATGTGTGAGCGCCATGTGTGCCATCATCCTTGTATCGTAGTATAAGTTAGTTCGTTATATGTATTCTTGTATCTCCGTTTACAGAAGAAATATTTAACACAGGGACCTTTAAGAATCCGTATACTTGTATGTCGTAACTCTAGTGAGCGAG